TGAATAAAGTGAAAACCTCTCAGCTATGCTGCCATAACGGAGCGTAGACGGACCGAACAAGCATCTGGTGGAAGTTGGCCGTGAGTGTGTGTGTGTGAGAGAGAGTGAAAGCAATTTTTCAAGTGTGTGTGTATTTGAGCCGTGCATAGTCTCAAATCGCACACAAAGAATGCAGGCAAGTATCTGAACTTTGTCTCTCTCTTTCTTTGTCCTTTATGAAACATTCTTTTCCCTTTTGTCCTGATCTGAAGGGGATCAGAGTTCAAGATGTGGAGCCAGCAGGGCTAGAGAAAACACCTCTCAGGGGTTTAAAATTAAAACCACATGCTCCTATAGTATGTTTGGTATTCAGCTTTTAACAGGAAATTCACTTTGGTTGAGACTTGAATCCCTCTGTTATTAAATGTAGTATCATGAGGCTTTAAAGTGTCAAGCAGCTCTGACATCAGCGATCGATCAGCCCTGACCTGAGAGCTGATCGGCAGAGAAATATCAATCACATGCAGGAAAATAAGCGGACAGAAACTAAATGAGGTCAGCTCTCCACAGACAGCCTGAACCTTCTCTTTATGGACATAAATTATGAGCCATTCACATCAAATCTGGACACATTCATCATTTTTTCTCTGCTGTGATAGCTTTCTGAGTAAAAGGGAAAAAAGAAAATGTTTCAAAAGCGTCTGAAAAATCAGGTCACATCACTTAGGCTTCGACCGTCTGGAGGAGAGCTGTGAATCTACTTTCAAAGAGGACAGTTTAACAATCTTCAACTTTTTCTGTGAAAACAGAATTATAGCATTTCCATTTCCAGGTATAACTCAGGGCCGGTTCTTTATAAATTTAAGCTTTACAAACACATACAAACACTGATGGGTGTAAAGGCCTGTAGTAACCTTCAGAGTAAAAAATGAAGCCAGTGTGAAAAACTGCAGTTCCTCCAGTGGCCACTTGAGGCAGCCTCTTAAAGTGAGTCAATCCCCTATAGAGCCTCTTTTGAAAACTGGTGACTAAACAGAGGATATAAACATGTTAACAGCCTGGACATCTTTAGCACATTTCTCTATTCATGACAGCTAAACGTGAATTGGTATAGAACTCATCTGTTCAGCTTATATGGAAGCTTACAATGATGTATAATTAGGAGCGTGGCCTCTTTTTAATGACAGGTAGTTCAGAAAACAAATTTTGTTGGTGACTCAGACATGTAACGTGTCTTGCTTTGTGGTTTATTGTACTAACAGACCATCCAAGAAGTCTTTGTCCCTTTGCAGTGAGTGAAAATGTATTATTTCACCTACATTTTAGCACATTCTTTAGCAGGTATCTTTGTCTGTGCTTACCACAACTGGTTTGTTAGCTTCTCCAGTGTTTCTCATATATTGTTTTAGTTAGGCTAACCCCTTCATGGTAGTCAGGATTGTTGTTTGTGGGATTTCCATCTCTATGACAGTACACGAACCAACGGGGAACACCTCTATGCCTATGCCAACTTCCTACATACAGCCACTAATTTACACATCAGTACATCAGTGTTGTCAGTGAAACCTAAAGAGTGACTTTGCATGATGTAAAGCTCAAAAAACGTCTAATTTATCGGATACTGTTGTCAGCATAAACCCTAATTTCAGCGTCTGCCTGAAATGGTTATTTTCAGCTGCTGTCTCTTTAAGGCCAATCCGCCCCATGTGCCCACTTTCTTCTGATTGGCCAGCTCTCTGGAGGCCTTCCTGGGGTCAGAACACTGCAGGGCTGCCAGGAGAGAGCTGCTCCCCAGTGCTGGGAGAAGAGAGACTAAACAGTTCCTTAGTTTCATATCTGGGAACGATCGTGTGACTTGCAGAACAAGCCTTTTAGCTCCCTCTGCAGACTTGTCCTGGGATTACTCCAACATGCGTTTTCCTCATGATCTGAAATTTTGCCTTCGTTTAGTTAATGGGCATCCAGCATTGTAACACTTTATGTGAGTTTTAAATTGAGGATCAGCAGAATAGTTCAACTCTAAAAGAATAAGTAAAGTCTTTAAACACCTGAGCAGAAAGTCTCTGAGAGAGTGGGAGGAATATAAAGATTACAATCCCCTTCATGGGGTCTCCACCTTTTTTAAGCAGCTCAGACCAGCTCAAAGCAATTTTCCAGAAAGTTTGCCCTCAGACGTCTCAAAAAGATAATATTTGATCGGCTGATTCTTTTTCATATTGAGCAAATACATGCAGTCCTTGTATCCATGCGAGATGGACCTCTGTGCTGGACAGACTTAGCAGCTTTTTTATTATTTACTGACGGCTTTAAGTTGTATCTGTGTTAAGTTACTGCGGATGGAAATCCAGTGTCTCCCGCTGCTTCACATTAGAAGCACTATAACGGCAAAGCAGAGGGAGGATTTGTCACAGAGTGAGAGGCTCTAATCTCCCATAAAAATGGATCTACACTAGAAAATATGGAAATATTTGGTCAGTGGATCAGTCGACACGCTGTGCTTAGTCTGAACGAACTGGCACAGATTTGACACATCATCGAGGTAAACAACTTCTCATAGCTGGCAGAACTGTCATATGGGACGGAGGATAAGGATGCACATTAAAGTGAGGATGTTTGATTCTTTACATTTAACACGCACAGCTGCTTGTTGGATGTAAAAAAAAACAGCTGCAGGATTACTTCTGCGGTCTTTAGTTCTGCCTCTGCATGGCACATCATGTCATGTATATTTATCTTCTGAACAAAACAGAATCAAACAATCATTGATTTCCTTTGGTTTCGTCCGCACTTATTAGAAGGTCTACACACACAACATCAGAGTTAAGACAGCGAGATCATTTGCAGAACAGCAGCTCGCCCCCATTTTCCCCGGGATCATCAAAATCAATTCTGCGGTGTCAGCAGGATTATTTGAGGGAGCGCTTGTTTTATGTAAAAAGGCCACGTCGCTGCTATGGCTGTGAATGTTTAACTGTTCCCCTCATACGACCTGAATGCAGTAGAACAATGATGGGAATGAATATTTAGAGAGCAGCTCTGTTGGTTCTGAGAAAAAACGAACCAGCTTTGTTCCTCCTTCAGTTCATTTAACAGTCTGCTGCTTTAGAGCAGAGAAACAAATGAGCTGCTGTGATGGGATTGGCTTTAAGTGTATATTTATATGCAGAGATATATAAAAAATATGTGTGAACTCCATTTATCTTCTGCAGTAATTCACAAGAAGTACCCGGGTAAATAAACATAGGACAGGAGTATAATAAACAAGTAGATATGTGTGTTACCATGCATATAAAAAACAGCTATCAATAGAAGACTTTGATATTAAAGCAACATTTTTTAGGATTTTGGTTTGGTGCACTTTGGCGCCCTCTGAGGGTCGTCAAAACAGTGTGTTGAAATAGCAGCCTGTCGTATGGGCCTGTCCAATATTTACTCTAGTTTCGCTCGGTCACTCTCTCTTTTTATGTTCTTCATCCATCGACGTCCTCTTTCTCCACTTAGCCTTATCCGTTGTATCAAACAGAACAGAGACGTGCTAACTGGCTCTTTTTTAGCTAAAGGCTGCTGTGTGAACTTGTGTCATAAAGCCGTACAGACTGCTCGCAAGAGAACTGTGACCCGCTGTCAAAGTTACACCGTGCTGAAAACAGGCATCCGAGGCGGTCTCTGGAAATGGAATAGACACTTTTCTCTTTGTTTAAAGTTAATGCATTTTTAGATCGACTTTGAAACGACTTTTTTAAGGTGGAAAAGTTGGACATTGTTGTTTTCAATCCAACTCAAAATCGTGATAATCTGACACAAGTTAGGGAGGTCTAAGTAGCATCTTATGTCTCCTTTTTTCTCAATGTTTTATTTTTGACCGTTAAGTCCAACATCACTTTACCCGACTTCAATCTGTACCCAGAACGAATTCCGGGAGATTCACCATCAACGAGTGAGATAGGGTGATAATGTTTATATTCTGTGACCTTGAGTAACCTGAGTGAACTCAGTGCATATAATGAAGCAGCTTCAAACTCTTTTCCACTCGTTCATTAATGCTATGACAACGTCCAATTATATGAACGTATAATATAGAGTAATATAAACGTCCATATAGAGATTGATTCTGTTGATTGGTCCACCATCTTGGCTCTTCACAGTGTCTCTTTAAGGTCATCTCCTGATGCCTAATCCATACAACTGTAGTTCCATATCGTGTGTGTTTTTATGCTAAAGTGCCTGTTTTTTCATGCTATCTCTCCTCGTCACATGCATCTTTGTCATGCTTGATCCTGCCTATTTCTATTTTCCTCTTTTTATTCTGAGGCACATTAAGTCCGTCCCTGTCATATTACACGTTATGTAAACACGTTTGACTTGACCTAGGAGGACGAGTCATGCTGATGGGATGTGATTGGCTGTTAGGCTATAATCCGAGGTCACGCAAACTCTGCTCTTAGCTAGTTGTGAGAAACTCGGGGAAAACTAAAACGTGTCCCATGTTATGGACATCGAGGTCATTTCTTTTCAGATGACAGATTGTTTTTAACCATTAAAATGTGTTTTCAGGTCATCTCCAGTGTTTTATTTTATAAATCACCTGAGCAGTTTGGACCATCAACAGAGTGAATGGTTTGGGAATATGTGCAGGAAAATGAATTATTTTATACTGCATGATTATGTTCACATTTATGGAAGCAATCAATCAGACAAATGAGGCCAGATCACGAGAGAGCAACAGTTGACTGACTGCAGTGTTACAGCTCACATGTGTGCCACAAATTAAAGCCATCAGTCATTTCAACGACGGAGAAACTTGTGATAAATGTTGACTTGTTGAGAAGTCACAAAGAGAAGCTCAGATATTAAGTTAAAGGTCACTTTGCCATGAAATGTTCCTTATTTATGCCACTTTCATGCAGAGAAAGTGTCACTACTCCAGGATGAAGCAATCTGTTGTTGGTGTGTGTTGCTTTTGTTGCCGTGGATCCAAACAGGAGGAGACACAAAAAGAAGGAATCAAAGTTTAAACTCACCCTGGACAGGACGACCTCTAAGGTGATGTTCTGAGGAGGAGCGCTGGGTACTGCAAAGACAAACACAAGAAAAAGAGTTAATAGGTTTAGGGGTGTGGCCAGACTTTATTTTTGACTGGGGTGACCCAACTGGGGCACCAACATTTGCGGGGGTGGCCTGAAGAGTGTACGCACATATACATCACAAAAACATTTATTAACCCTTTCTATCTCCACTATTCATTTAACTACTTACATTTAAGTATCATACAGATGATATTTTTCTGTGTATCATTTCTTTACTCTAAAAAGTAGCACAACACCTGGAAATTGTTCCAATAATAAAATCTATAAAGGATTGCAGAGACTTTTAGGATTTAGATTATCTATGAATTCTATCTGTGCTGGTTTGAATTATTCATGACTGTGTTTGTAATCCTGTTTTTAAAAATGCAAATATTTAACATTTAACAAGTCCAGCAGCCTCTGACAAAGTGGACGAGACAGTGGATAGAGTCCGAAACACAGGAGAGAGGGTTAGGTGGGTAATGATACGCGGGAAAGGAGCCACAGGTTGGACTTGAACCCGGGCCGTCCGCTTAGAGGACTTATGAGTATGCCCCACACATGGGGGCCGACCTAACCTCTAGGCCACTTGGTTCTCAACTGGTCGAGCCTCAGGACCCACCACCAACTCCTTCTTGAAAAATTGCAACCCAACATTTCAGAATATTTTTTCAAACAATCTGATTACTTAGATAAAAAAATATATTGTGCAGTTTGGACCTTAGACGGTACAAAGCGTGATGGGACAAAGAAACTGAACGAAACAGACTTATTTATATAGCACCTCTAAGACAATTTGACACAATTTATCTTCCGGGCACACCTTTGTGACCCACTGAAAACGGCTTCACGACCCACTTTTGGGTCCCGACCCACCAGTTGAGAACCACAGCTTTATGCCATCTGCCCCCACCAGTTAGATCTGCCCCTCCTCTGTACACACCCCTGCTCAGTCATTTGCAAATTCATTACAAAACCAGGTGCTCAAATTAATGACCTCTGGCTTGATCGTAACAAAACATACAAATAATTTGGTGCTCTTACTTTGCTTCAATATTATTTGTATCCTGTTGTACTTGTATAAGGAAAATAAAGACGTGGAAGTGCCGTGCTCAGGGTAAAAGATTCACAAAGGAAAGGAGATAAATAATGAAAGCGATAAAGGGAAATCAGGGGATAAAACAAAGCAAACCAACCTTAAAAAACAAACAAAATTGGAGCATGAAATCAAGGAAGATAAGATGTAAAAGATGATGTCAAAGACAAAGAAGCAGTGGACGAGGAAGAGGAGGAAGAGGATGATGATGAAGAAGCAGCAGCAGACGTGCGGTTCTGCGCCGTGAATCAGAGGCAGTGTGACGTTCAAAATTGAGAATCAAAGTGTTTTGATTTGAATGAACTCTGCATCTGTCCAACCAGACGCCCGATTAACTGTCAGCAGCTTATCTATTGATTCAGCTGCTCACTGTCTGCATGTACGTGTGTGTGTATGTGTGTGTGTGTATGTGTGTGTGTGTGTGTGTGTGTGTGGGAGTTTTATTGTGGATTCAATTAGCCCACAAGTCATTGTTATCATCGAGAAGCAGGCGGGACGTTCACAATACAGCCACGCTGCATCTGTGTGCGTGTTATTTCAGATCATTGGTGTTTATTTGTGTTGTGATTGCAGCTGGACAGATGCCTCCATTCTCTCTCTCTCTCTCTCTCTCTCTCTCTCTCTCTCTGGAAGTTTTATTCACAGCAATAAAAACCTGCCAGAGCACGAGGCAGCAGCTCCATGTTGAAGTCTGAGCTCAGGCTCCATTCAGAGGAGGAATTAAAGGGCCGGTCTGTGGTCCAAATGTACACAAAACGGGAGCATCAACAGCCTCTGCAGCGCTTCCTGACTGACTCACCCTTCTTATAAAGAAGAGAAAAACCAAACACAGCGGACAGGAGGTTTCTTTTAAATCAACTGTAGTGAAGAAGAAGTGCACATAGACTCATCATTTAAGAAGGGCATTCTTTCTGATGGTCAGCAGGGGGCGAGTCCACAGGTTGCAAAAAGATGATTGACGGCCTGATTGACAACAGGATTGTTCGGCTTTTGCGCCTAAACTTGAGTCAAAAAGACAGGGTTTCATTCAATCCAACACAAAGGGTTAACTTCTCCTCTGACAGCCTGTCCGAACAGCACACGATGCGAGCAAGCATCAGAGACAAAATCAGCCTGATTCTATGTTTTCCTATTGGATTGTGTTCTAAAAGTGATTTGAGTCAGCAGCTCGTTAATGTAAAGCACCACACATTCGTTTGTCCACCTTTAGCAGAAAAGCAGCAGATGTTATTCTCTTTGAAAAGGGGGGATAGGGATACAATTTACAGAGCAGAGAATGCAATATTTAACGTGTGCAGTGTGGACAGCGAGTGTGCGATATATAACCCTTGGATGTGAGTGAGAGGTGCAACAAACATTGTTTTTTATATATTTTCAAGGCTCTTATTGGAGAACTTCCACCTTACATGACAGACCTGTTTGAGTGGAACTCAGACGCCTACATGTCTCGTTCTTCTGAGTGTATCGTTCTTAAAGTCCGTCAAGCTTTTACTGAGCTCTGTAATTCTGCATTATCTATTGATGCCCCAAAATCGTGAAACACCCTCCAGCAAACTCTAAAGATCAGAGTTCTTCCCTCTCTTTCATTTCTAGCCAATTTGTTGATTCTGATGATCTCAGCTGATTCTGAGTGTTTGTTGTTTTACTGCGCTTGTAAGAGAATTGGAAATGATGCAAACCTCGGTGTGAATAAATAAAGGTTTGAATGAGGGAATGTGATACAGTCCGCCTCTTTAGCAGCTGGACTGCGGTTAGCCGACGTCACGTTTAGCTGCAAAATGTGATTCAGACTTTAAATGTTCAAAAAACTGTCAAAGTCAATATCTAATTAATGAACAATCCTGTTCACTGCAGTGTTCTTCCCACCATGACCAACTTAACACTGTCTCTCCTCGGGTCTGTGTGTGTGTGTGTGCACTCATTAGTGCGTCAGGCTAAGAGGCTAAAATGAAGCAGCTCTTTCCTCATCTCGGAGCTTAATTAAAGACCCCCGAGTCCCCTAATGAAACGACTGACAGCAGGAGAGAGAAAGAGGGATGAAGTGTGTGTCTGCTGCTCTGCTTTTAGTTCTATACTCCCTAACACACTCTCACACACACACACACTCTCACACACACTCACACACACACACACACACACACACACACACACACACAGTGTCAGGTTATAGGCTGCACCTGGTCCAACATTTTCTCTGGTCTCAGCGGACCGGCTGCCGGGCTTCAAACTGGGACCAGTTTAGACCAGTTACTGAACACTGCAGACACCACCCCTCCCCACACACACACACACACACACACACACACACACACACACACACACACACACACACACACACACACACACACACACACACACACACACACACACACACACACACACTGTCTGCTAAATCTTCAGTGTTTGAAACATCAGCAGCCTCTTCATTAGTTTCTTATTAGTTTCTCTTATTGATTTGTAATGTCCTCAATATAACACGTTTGACTTTGAACTGTGCGGAGTCGATATGTTGGGAAAGACGAGCCTCACCGACATCCAAGAACTAAAGACGCTAATTCTCATTTAGGTATTATTGCTCTGAAATAAAACAACTTAAAAACACATCGATTTCTTTAGAAGTACTCGGCTTGTACAAAAACAGATCATAGTTAGTGAGAATGTTTTCATTTTGGAGATGGAGATGGAGGATTAACCCCTTCTCTGCCTTCCAGCTGACCGCCTGAACAGTTTCATAACTCGTGTTCAGTAATGTGCGACAGCTGAGAGCGGGTCAGTGTTGTTGCTCACTGTTATCATACAGGTCGATGAGTAAGTGGCTGTTACACTACATGGAAGCCAGACATCTATGACACTTTCTACTTCTATCTGCTGTTTATCTTGTTTTACACAGTTCATATGTTTACAGCAATTTTCTCCTCAATCCAAAAGAAAATCCAAAAATAAATCTGACAGCAAGCTTCATATGTCTGTCTAAAAATGGAGTAAAACACATAGACATCCACACAACAGGTGTAATGTACACATGCTGAGTGACAAAGCTTTTCTTACTCACATTGACTCTACATTTTTTTATTCATTGTGTTAAATTCAGATTTTTGAAATGTGTTTATTGCAAGTGCTAAAACCCCGATAATGATTCATTCTGCCGCCCTGATGAATAAATTAGCACGTTGCATCTAAATCAGACGCTTGCAGAGGGTTGAACTCACCGTCTGATTGGGTGGTGATGCTGACGATCTCTGAGGCGGTGCCTGGTCCGTAGCGGTTGATCGCCAGAACTCGAACCGTGTACTCTGTGAACTTGTTGAGTCCGTCCATCTTGTAGTTGAGTCCGGAGACCTCCACACTCTGAATGCAGACACAGAGAGGCGAGGACAGTTAATTAATATCCCACGACTTTAAACACAAGCAGACAGGAATAATGTGTTTTCCTTTATGACATGATGTCACTGGAAGACTTAAAGGTTCTGACCTGTTCCTTTCCAGACGGGCTCTCGGTCCACAGCAGTCTGTAGCCCAGGACGGGGCCGTTAGGCAGGGCTGGAGGCTCCCAGCTCACCTGGACGGAGGTAGGCGACAGAGCCTCGGCCTGGAAAGACTCCACCCTGCTGGGGACCTGGACTGTAGACACACACACACACACACTGCTGTTTCTGCTACTACTCCACGTCTCACTGTTGTTACCTCTAATGCTCCTTTAGCGACTCAGCCTTACCCATCATATGTTATTCATCATTTTCAAACAGCAGCCATTTTTCTAAAAACAAGCTGCTGTTAAAATGGCGTGCTGCTGTGTTTGAGGCATAAGCTCGATCCAGACTGTCATTTCAAGCCGTGATGAGGCCTCTGTGACGTTTCACCTTCAGTCTGACTGTTGCTGAGGCGTAATGGGGGTATGGAGAGTTCCCCGCTCTGTGCTGTGGGGGGGGGGGGGGGGGGGGCAGCGCTGTGCGTGTGTGTGCATGTCTGAGTGTGCTGTGCTTCTGCAGCGCCTAAATGCAAGACTTACTTACTGCACTTTTGTGAAAAAAATCTGAAAAGTCTGAAACAGTGAGCCGACATGGATTAGCCTCAGTGACGTCATCATTGGTTTCTGAAGTAGAGACTTGAAGCCCGACAATGGAGGCTGCCATATTCAAACAGGCATAGAGCTGGAGCTGAGGCGGGCCTTAAGCCTCCTGACAAACAGCTACAACATATTTGACAACCCATACATGCTACAGGTATGTCAGCAACAATAGCTATATACCGTATTCCAAGCTTCGATTCACCTTAGTTCAGAAATGTTTAAAAGCTAACATTCACTAGTGTTTCTATGGCAGCTTTGAGGTCAGCGACTATGTTGCTGTAACTTTAAATAATGGGCAAAAATCCCTCTGGAGTAGCAATATACATTTTCTCTGTTACAGATACGTTGTAAAGAATCAAGCTTTTAAAAATTTGACACAGTTGTAAGACATTATGACAACACTTAAACTTCAATAACTGAGTGTGATGTCAGAGGAATAAAAGACTGAAAACTTTATAAAGAAAAATGAGAAGAGTTAACTGTACATTATCACACATTTTAAATGGAATTCATTTAGCCGTAAGGAAAAAGAAATGTGAGAGCATGTGTGTGTATGAGCGTAAGTGTGTGTGTTAGCATTTGTGTGTGTGTGAGCATGTGTGTGTGTGTGTGTGTGTGTGTGTGTGTGTGTGTGTGTGTGTGTGTGTGTGTGTGTGTGTGTGTGTGTGTGTGTGTGTGTGTGTGTGTGTGTGTGTGTGTGTGTGTCTTACGGTCTGGTTTGGTGGTGATCCTCAGGGGGGTGGAGCTTTCTCCCGGCCCCACGTCGTTGTAGGCGATGACTCTGAAGCTGTAGCTCTCCTCAGGCTTCAGGTTGGACACGGTCAGCTCGAGAGACTCGGGCTCCGACACGTTCACTGACCGCTCCCTGCCATGGGAAAACACAACGTCTACACTGAAACACCTTCATCATGAATATAAAACATGTTGAAACATTTTTGATTAAAAGTTGTTCTGTGTTGGATGCTGCATTTTGGTCTCACTTGTACAATCTGATTTGCTTCACTATTTATACCGAAATACACATTATTTAATTTATTATTAACAGATTAGGATGTGACAGAAAACTGCATTAAAAAGAGCGCACAGTTAGATTTTACGACTGTACAGATTATCTTGGTTCTAATCAGATGTAATCTGTGTAATCCCTCGGTTACTGCAGCTAATCCTCAGATTACGGCACCTCTGCAGCCTCTCAGTCCTCGACTCATCACTAAATCACAGACGAGACAGCTGCACGGACTACGAGCAATGTTTCCTCCGTAGCTTCAACTCTTCCTTTTCTTGCTCACTTCCCGATAAAGAAAGCTGACAGGGTACAAGTCTTGTTGGAAGGAGTTTCAAACCTCTTTTCTGGGATGAAGATTTCTTTTTTTTGCTGCACAAATTCCCAGCAGATTGTTGCCCTGATTCAAACTCAGACAAAACTTTGATTCACAGATACAAACTGGCTCTTGATCCACTCAGACGACAGGATGTAATGACAAATTATTGCATAAAGTAAAGAAAATTCTGGAACGACAGAAACTATTTATGCTGACATGGATTTAAAGATTAAGACAGGGAGCGCCGTTAGCATAGTGGTTATGCCATGCAGCTCCCATGTACAGAGGAGATAGTCCTCATGCAGCGGCTGTGGGTTTGAATCTGACCTTTGCCCTTTGCCTTTAGCTGCATGTCCTCTCCCACTCTCTCTCCTCCCAACATTTCCTGTCTCTCTTCAGCTGTTGTATCTAATACAGGCTAAAAGGCCAAAAAACAAATAACTTTTTAAAAAGTTTAACTCCTGAATTTTGAAGCCTTATTTTTGAGTTTTTTGAGAAAGTGTGAATCGGGTGAGATGAAGGTCAGCACCTCCAAGTCTGAGGCCAAACAGTGGATTGCTCCCTCTAGGTGGGGATTGAGTCTCTACCTCAAGTGAAGGACTCCGGAGTCCAAGTATTTCAGGGTCTAGTTCAGGAGCGAGAGTGAAATGGTCAGCAAGATTTAAAGGCGGATTGGTGCAGTGTCAGCAGTATTACGAGCGCATGCACCGGACCGTCCAGGTGAAGAGGGAGCTGAGTCTGAAGGCAAAGCTCTTGATTTATCGGTCAATCTACGTTCAAACCCTCACCTTTTTATCATGAGCTGTGAGGGTAGTGACCGAGATAACGAGATGGCGTATACAAACGGTCGTGATGATATCTTAAAACCTCTCAGTCAGAGCCTACAGGTGGATGCTGGGGTGGAGGTGCGGGCTGAGACCGGAGATCTTGCAGCTTAGAAAACACCTCTGATATGAAGGATGTGTCGTCAGGTGGTTGTGGATAAGAAGTGTCGCCTCATTTATTGGAAACTTTTTAATTCAAGGAGCGACCTTCATCAGGCAAATAAATAAAGAGTTTGCTAGCAGTGTCCTGAAATAGATGTGTGTAATGCTTTCCTGTTTTGTGTTATGGTAAACAATTAATTTTTATTCGGCCAAACATTCATCTGTTGTATTTATTCCTGAAGTATTTCGGAGTCATCTCTTTTTATTTATAGATAAAAAAACAAACACCTGCAGCTCTTTGATGCCCATTGCACATTTCAATCCATTCATGTTACTTATGAAGGTTATTTTTCTCTTTCACATGTGTGAGACAAACTGACAGAACAAATAATCCTCCACTATCTTCATCGTCCTCGGCAGCAGCAGCAACAGAGAGACGCAGAGGTTAAAGGAAACACAAAAGGTGAGCGAGTACTCTGGGTTCATGGATCCATATTTCTCTCGGAGCCGCTGAGTAAAAAAGGCAGAGAGTCCGAGCTGGATGTCAAGTTAAGCAGCAGGTCTGTTTGTGTCACACAGTGTGGCTCGTCTTTAACCTTCAGAGGCCACAGTCTGCGGTCACTCAGCCGCTCAGAGAAGAATAACATAGACACATCTACCTCTGCTCGTTATCACTACTGTTGTGTCCCATCCTTTTTACTGCTTTCTTTTTCTGTCTCCTTCTTTACAAATGTTTTTCTCTGTCAAAACTGTTGGACATGAACTTTCCTTATCAAGTCGTGGGAATAAAGAGAAACATGTGCAAACATCACGTTGCTTTGTCTTCCTGACGAGGATTAAGTGTTCCTTTGGTGCCTGGTGTGACCTGATGTTGATAAAGTGATAGAAAGTATGACTGGGAGTCCGTATATTGGGTTTTATTTTGTAATTGACCGGATGCTCAGTGCGTTTCCTTGTCTGACTTCCAGTCCGGGTTGATCTATGATGTTCAGCTTGACGCGTGCTCGCAGCGGGCTCCTTCTTAAATAGACTTGGACGGATCACGGCGCTTGCTGTGGAAACAGGAGCATTGACAGCGCCATAGTGCACGCCATAGTGCACGGCGCTGACGGACTGGGGCGTAAATTGGCAGCTATACTCTCTCTCTCTTTGCTCTATCTTTTCTTTTCTGGTGACCGTCCATTTCACCTGCCGATAATAACGTTGACAATGTCAGTTGAGAAGCAACAGGGGGACAAGCAACAAATTTTTTTGTCTTTATTCTATTGGACAGCTGAAGAGAGACAGGAAGTGTTGGGAGGAGAGAGCGGGGAGTGACATGCAGCAAAGAGCAGAGGTTGGATTCAAACCCTCGGCCGCTGTAAGGGGGACTACAGCCTCCGTACATGGAGCATGCTACATGTCCAGGGAGGCGGTTGCTACATGGGCAGGACAAATGGACCCTCAGGCCATCAGAAAAAGTCCTGGTGCTCCCAACATATGTTACGCACCTGTCCTGAATCAAGAGGATTTCTCTCTGGTATATCAACCTACTAACCCATCAGGGAACATTGAGACTTGAATCGGGGGCGACTACAAACCTACAAATATGTGGTCCTGTTGCAGACAGTAGAAATACATTACTGATAAAGAATTTAAGGCTCAGGAGGCTCAGTCATAAATATCTGAGACGGAAGCCGGACAGCTGATTCAGTTTTTATCATGTTGTTAAACTATATTTATCACAGGCTGCAGGCTAAATATGCAGCACATGTGGACTAACACTTTGACCTGGAGTCCAATGTAAACTCAACCATCCATGTGTTCTGTTTCATTCAGTGATATGTAAAAAACACACAATTTTAAGTTGAATGAGATATTTTCATTTTGCATACAAACTGTTCTCTAACACCTTCAGTACGACTGACAGGCAACATAATCACATCTGAGTCCCCGAACATAATCAGAGAAGACTAAGACACAAAGTATGACATGCCTCGCTCTGAGGTGTAGAGAGTCTGCTCCAATCCTCTTAAGTAGAGAGTGAACAAAAAACCCTCCTTTGTTCATCTAATTCTTTCTGCTTTGCTACTTTTTTTGGTCTATCTTTTTTTATGGTCAATACATTTCATGGAAGTCATTACAACTGACACTAAATTTTATCCCCACTCGCCCTTCCTGCCATCTCCCTCTCTCCTGTAATCGTTCACTGTCTCCCTCCCTCCCTCCCTCCCGTCTCGTTTTCGAAAAGTTATTAGAGCTGCAAAAACCTGTCTGTGTATTTTTCTTCGAGTCATTAGAACTGACAAAAACCTTGGCCTGTGTATCTTCTGTAAGTGATTAGGACTGACACAATCTCTCTGCTGGATCGCTTCATGATGAAACTTCAGCGGCTGCTCTGTCCAGTAAACTGTTCAGAGCTCTGAAACACTGCAGGGCCGGCGGCTCCCAAAGGAAACAAAGCTTAAAAGCCTGGATGTGAAAGCCTTCAGCCAGGGCCCCGACTGTCAGAGGTTAGCATTTAGCATCAGCGGGGGACTCGCCAACATGTCACCCAGAGCTTTTTATAACGACGTTCAGAGCTGCTGTGAGCCACAGAGCTGGGATCAAAGGGAAGGAGTGTTTTCTTTGACATATTCTTACTTTACAACTCGACGCCATCAGTCCTTTGTCCACTTATACTGTAAGTCGAGTGTGATTTACACACATTTAAGTCTACAGTGGGGGGTTCATACACCTTATCAGCAGGGCCACATGTGTGGCTTTATGGATGAAAAAGGTCGTCTGTCAGATGTTTGTTCTTTCAACAAATCGCTCCAGATCTCAAACTGTCTGTAGCTCTTTTCACACCGCTTTGCTGCAACAGCACCTTAACTATGCTCAGACGTCATCACGTCTTTGTTCAATAATATTGATTATGCGATGGCGTAATATTCTTATTCTAAATCACATGGTATTTCGGCGTTGTGGAAGCATGGCACAGCGGGAGCTCCTTGTGCACACACAGCGCTGCGCTCCCCCGCTGGCTCAGCTGATACGTCTCGCCTCTGTCACGCCTATGAAACTTCCTCTAAAGGCAGAACAGAGGGAGGCGGGGGGGGTGGGGATCACTTTGTCCCCCCCATTACACCTCTTTGACTTTTACGTTGAAGGCAAAACGTCACAGGAACATAAATATCCCGTTTTGAAACAGCACTCAGAGTTTTTAAGAGGGAGTGAATGTAGCCTCTTAGTTTAAAGTGTCACTAACAAGCATTAGCCTGTTAGACCCGTATTCCTTTAAATGTACAACAGGGGGCGACTCCACTGGTTGGTTAATATTAAAGTCTGTAGCTGTTTCACACATGCACAAAAGTCGTGAAAATTTTTCGGGTTGAGCTGCATGTGTGAACGCAAACAGCTGAATTTTTCACCCATTTTTTTCCAGCTTGCCCTCTAGTAAACAATTCTGTCAGAGTGACCTGAGGTGTGAAGGGGGGAGGGGATGATGACTTTAATATCATGCATCCAGCTAGCTTTAGTTAGCTGTTTCTGCTCATTTGTTTTTACGCTGAATATGACCCATTACACGTAGCATGTATTTCAATCTTCTATAATAATTTCAGACTCTGCTTCTATCCTGCAGGTAAAAAATCACACTGTGAGGTACATGTGTGAAAAGATTAGGAACATTTCAGGGTGAGGTCAGTCTTAACATTTTCATAAATGCATGTGTGAAAACCGAAAATACGCCTCCTCTCTGTTGATTTATTCCCTCAGTAAATATTCTCCAAATGACTTCATGGCCTCATTCTCTAGTTTCATGTCCTCTATAACACACCACGGTGTCTTTTGTAAGTATCTATCCAAATGAAAGAAGACAAAATAACAATCAGTGTTCCTCAGAGTCGCACAAGGTGATCTTAACAACCCTGTTACCATGGTGATTTTCACAACATTGTGTTTGGATTGTTTGTGTGTCCACAAGGTTTTTTTGTGTTTCAGAACATGTGAATGAATCATACTTTTAGTCCTAACAAAAGGTTGTTTATTTTTTACCCTCATGTACAATTGTTGATTAGAAATCATCACTCATCGAATGTGTTCTCTATGAGCCTTTCAACATGGACGACTGTGTATAAAAAATGTTTATCTAACTCTCTGAAGTCTGCACCATGGCTGATCCAGCCTGATCTCAGGGCCACATCTGATCCAATAAACCTGTAGGAAGGTGTCGGGTACATTTAATGTCCATGTGTTTACAGTCTTGACTGTGGCCAAAAAAAGCCAAAAAGAAGACCTACCTCGGGTGCTCTCATGAATAAGAAACAAGCATGAATAAATCTTGAATCTTGGTTTAGAATCCACAATGAGGATGCAACATAACAAACATGGCGAACACATTACGGAGAGCTATCCGTCTGAGAGCGAGGAACCGTACTCAGAGGTGCTACTTGTCAAAAGGCAAGGCAGGCAACTGCTTGGGGCCCTAGGCCAGCAGGGGGCGCCCCCCGAGGGCTGACAGGCTTTAATGTGAAAGTAAGAAACCTCCCTGAGGGGGCCCCATCCGACAACACTCACTTAGAGAACTGTGAATAACTGAATGCTAATAGTCTCGCCCTAAACATGGAGAGACACTTAATCAACATAACTTCTGCTAGCATGACTTTAATGCTTTTTATCATTCTTTATATTCATATATGTTTGAAAACTTGTCTGATGTGGACTTTAGAAATAAAAACAAAATTACATCTTGCATCATTTTCTTTTTTCTCTTGGTGTCAGATTATTTATGACATAATGGTGATGAACGCTGGTTGGAGGCCCCCCTGTGATTTTTTTTCCCTTGGGCGCAAACAGACTCTGGAATACTTTGTGCAAACTTACTTACAAGGACAGTGTCTCTGGTGGCCTCGTATAGACAAGGAGGAATTCACTGACTGATCTATAACCTGAATGAAATATAAACTGACAAAGGTCACATATTCTCCTCCTCTTCAACCAGTGTAAATAAGTCTCAGAGCTCCCTCAAAATATGTCTGAGAAGTTTCTTGTTCTAAATCCACTCTGATCCTGTATTTGATCATGCCTATAAACCCCTCTATTTCAGCCCTGCTCAGAACAGGCTGTTTCTGTGTCTGTACCTTTAAATATGTAAATGAGCTGTGTATGACCACGCCCCCTCTCTGAGAGGACTTGGGTGTACTTGGGCTTTCTCGCTCCATGTCCTATTGTTTACGGTGAGAAGGCAGACTCAGAGGGCAGAACAAACACATAGCTGTGGGAGTGTCACCCACCTGGGGGAGGGGTTACTGCCCTTTGTGATGTCATGAAGGGAAACTCTCCAAACGGCCTGTTTGAGCACACATTTTCTGAAAAGTGAAGCATTCAAAAGACTGAGAGGATGGACTTTTCTCATCATTGGGGGGGTTTGTAGACAGACTAGAGACACATAATAGTGTTAGAGGAACATGGGGAAGTGGATTTTGTATAATATGTGACCTTTAAGGGAACAGTATATGGAGTGGTAGTTTTTTATCTGAACAGATGGCTGGTACAGACTTGTAGCATTTATAAAGGGACGTGGACATACGAGGTGTTCCTTTCTACTTAAATAAAAAGCTACCTGTGAGTTTTAGCAGCTAGTAGGACTCATTTTAAGAAGCCTACAGAGTAAAGTATCTATATAGATCCCTTTGAGCCAGGGTTGTGCATCAGGGGTTTCTTTCTGCTACAACAACCTCATCTGTTGTCATTTTAATAAAATCTATTTCTTGACCCAAAAAAGTGAAAGTATCCAGAAATCAACAGAACAGTCTTGAAAAAGAGCTTCAGAGCTTTTTTGGATCTTTTGGATGAGCTATAAGTCAGACAGAGACAAAGAAAAAAAAAACCTTACCTCTCGATCCCATCCTGGGAGTAGTAGATGCCATAGGTCTGCACGGCTCCTCCGGTCTCCTCTGGGGGGCGCCAGCTGAGACGGACAAATCGGCTGGACACTAGGACAGGGACCAGGTCGCGGGGGGCAGAGGGGAGGGCAACGCCTGGGCTGGGGGACACTGGTGGGGGATCAGAGGAGGAGGAGTAAGTCAAGGGAGTGCCAGAAGGAGCAGGAGGAGCAGGAGGAGGGTGCGGAGAGGGAGGGGGTGTGTGGGCGGGTCTATACTGAGTGGGCGGGGCCTCAACTATAAGTTCATCCAAGTAAAGGGGAGAGGGGGAAGGTGGGGAGGACAGGAGGAGAAGCAGGACAGGTGAGGACGGGAAAAGGTGGGAGGTTGCAGGAGGTGAACGAAGGAGGCGGAGCAAATGAAAAAAACAAGAGGAGCAAAGGACAGATGAGATGTGCAGATAAGGAACGGAGAAGACGTGAAAGAGACAAGAAGGAAGAAAAGGAGGAAGAAGAAGAGCAGTAAAGAAGATCACAGGCAAGAAAAAAAGCAGCAGAGCATCTGAAGAGTTCAATCATCATCAACACAAAACAATCAATCAATTTCTGAAAATGTTTGAAATCAAAAACACGATTATTAGAATCGATACTTGAACTAGTTGTGTTGATGTTTGCTTGAGAATATGAACACACAGCACATGAGTCAATCACAGCTGAGCTATGATCTAATCACATGACACACATTTCCAAATTATCTCGTTGTCTCGTCTCCACCTTCCCTTTCCAAATTCTAGCAGATGTGATTTAATGTCACACATGAGGGATGAAGTGTTGACAGAGATGTCAGTGTTTTGCTTTTTGGTGAAATGAAAACAGCGATGTAAAAAGAAGAATGGAAGTGATAAAAAGTAAATGTCAGTCTCTGGATTTTAAAGTGTGCAGCGCAAACCAGATTGTACATCTTCAGGTCAGACACAATTTTTTTTTTTAGCTGAGAATGACGATCATTACGGTTTTAGTTTCTGTTTTGTTCTTGTGGTTTTTGTTTGTGGCAAGTTAGTGGTTTGTGATGTGTAAGTAACATGTTTGTGTCTTGTCTGTATTGTTTTAATGGTATATAAATGTATATATAAAAAGGTCTTATGACTTCAGGTTGACACATAAAAAACAACAACCCCCGGGCAGTGTGTATCTATAAGGAATGAGCTTCAAAGAGCAAAACCAGTTCATGAAGCAGAGTGTAAACATGTTTGTTTGTGATGGGGACAAGCGGTCCGGTTTGGTTCAGCACAGTTTGGTACAGTACGGTAAATCCTGATCTTGCTTGCGTCCACAGCCGACTGTACCTTTATTTGGTAAGCAGAGTGTAAGCCTGATGGAGCCGCGTCAGTAATAGTGTGACATCATAGCAGACCAACACAGTGTAGCCCGCTATTAATGAATTTCAACGAAGAAGAAGAAGAACGAGACACAGTAAACAAAAGGGACTCTTTAGGGTCTGATTGGTACCCTTGGCACCCCAACAGAAGGGAACCAAAAAAGTAGGACAGTACGGATCAGTTATTTTGGTAGCATTCCCAACTTTTGACGGTGGAAACTCCAATAAATGGGTACCGTACCGAGCCGAACTGAACCGGACCGCTTGGAGGAAACGGGGCTTTAGTGTCTCATGTTGTGTAGGGCCGGAGCGATATGGGATTTTTGGGTCCTATGCCGATACCGATAATAGGGAGAGAGAAAAAAATCTGATAACCGATATATTGGCCGATATCTTTCTTCAATCTCCAATCTTCAGAGATAGATACACATGCTTTGCGTCAAGCTCTCAAATGCAGTCATCAAACACTTGTGGAAAATATTTATAAAGAAGACACTCAACTGGAAAGGAACTGTGCATGTACATGCTTCACAGCTTGACACTCTGGAGAGTGATGATGTTTGTTGTAATTCATAAAGAGCCCTCTGCTGGTGACAGAGAACGGCTAGTGTGATACAATGAAACGCAAATTAAATGCTATTTGACTGGTGAATTAATCGAGTAAAATCTGTGAATATCTGAGATAAAATGAGCTGATGCCAATAGTCAAGTGATATACTGATATCGACCGGTATTGTCGCCTGGCTGATTAATCGGTCGGGTTTCTATTTGCACACTTTCACTTTTTCCTACAAATGAAAGTGTTTTGAGCTTTCCATAGAAGCCCTCTCAATATCCTCCATAAAACATGCAGAACAAATTCATTCTCAGGTAGTTGGATTGTCTCAAGGCCAATTAATGATTTTTAAATGGAAAACCCTACTTGTACGATGATTGATGCAACTTCAAGATAACACAAATGCTGAAAATAACACCACCCGGAGTTCTGTTGGAGTGTGTTTGTTGTGTAATTATGGGTGTTACATTAGCTGTAGCTGTTAAGTTGCAACCACTTATACAGCTGTAGAAAACAACGCCCGAGGACAAACACAAACACAATCAATGTTACACACACACACACACACACACACACACACACACACACACACACACACACACACACACACACACACAGCTGATGCTTGTTCTTCGTTTGTAGTGTGGATCTAGTGATGAAGCTTAAACTTAGAGAAATATAGACTGAACACTAATCCTCTCTGAAAACCAACACCAGAAGCTATCATCATATATCCTCTCCTCTCCTCTCCTCTCCTCTCCTCTCCTCTCCTCTCCTCTGCTCTCCTCTCCTCTCCTCCATCACAAGCTGACACATATCCAATTTTTCTGCAGGGTCAAGAGTCCTTAAATGCTTTTGTCTGTTTGCACATGTCGATAAAGCTTCCCTGAACATACACACACATTTCACACTTTATGATCGGAGGAGAGGAGAGATGGAGAGGAAAGTGGGATGAATAAAGGACACAACAGGTTAACAAAAAGAGTAAAAGAGTAGGGACGTTGACAAAAGAAGTGGAAGAACAGTTGATAGAAAAGCAAAGACTGAGGAAGTGGATAAGGCCAGGAGAAAAGAGGAGATAAAAGGGATGGAAAGAGAAAAGAAGGATGACAAAGGGGGAGAACGATGATAAAAAAGGGGAATGACTGAAGATGAAAACAGGAGAAAAATGGAAAAATAGGGAGCAGGCATGGGGAAGAGCAAAATGAGGACAATGGCATGACATGATGGGATACAATGAGTAAAGGAGGAGGGGAAGAGAAGAAAAGGATAAAGAAGGGGCTACAGCAGAGATCAAAGGCAAGAAACAAAGGGAGAGGAAGGAAAAGAGGTAGACATGGATGATGAACAATGAGAGGAAGCTGAGGAAGTAAAAGGAAGGAGATTAAGGACGAGTAGGTGAGGAAGGAAGAAAGGATGGAGGGACAAAAAGACAAGTGGATGGAGACGAGGAGAGAGAGGGAGGAAGATAAAGGGAGTAAAGATGAAAGAAAGCAAAAGAAGAGACAAAGGAAAAGAACTGAGGGAGAAATGGAGGGACAGGTGGAGGGGGAAAGTAAAAAAATGAAAATATGTGTAAAAAATCACATGAATAAAGATAGGACAAAGGAGGAGACAGAGGGAGTAAAAGACTTGTAGTTTGGTGTTGAATCTAAAAAAATGAGAACATAGGGTGAGAGAAAGAAAGATGCTTGGAGGAACAAAAAGTGGAGAATAAAGTTAAAGAAGACAACAAGGACAAAGGAAGGGAGGAGGGGAGGAAAAGGAAGAAGTATAAAAAGAGGAGTGTCTGTTAACACCTCCTCTCGTCTATGTGAGATGAGATTTGTGGTGTGAAGGGCAGATTCGTTCCTGCTCGCTGACCCGGCCGAAAAAGCCGAGGCGACACCGAGAAGTAAAGCGCCACACTCTGCCGAAAAAAAGAAAAAGAAAAACTGACAGGGGGAGGGTAAATAATAGAGTCAGACACCACAGAAGAAGAGCTAGAAAACAATCTGAATAAGTGCTGAGAATTACACCGCAGTCTGCCCGACGACGGCTGATACCTGCTCACACACACACACACACACACACACACGCACACACACACACACACACACACACACACACACACACACACGCACGCACACACACACACACACACACACACACACACACACACACCCCACGTTTTCTCCATCGCTCTGTCCATTTTCTACAAACTGCTCTGCATTTATATTGTTTCTGCTGCCTGAGTGATCTTTAGGGGGAGACTGGTTTCAGCTGCAGAGAAGAATTGTGATTTTTTTTGTGTTAGAAAAACAGAAACTCTGAACTGAAGAACTAAAATAGAGAAGGACAGAAAACGGTGCCTAGCTTAGCTGTTTAAGCCTCTGTCTAGTAAATTAGGGCGATGGCAGCTGTGTCTGTAGGTACTTGGGTTGGAAACTGGAAGGTCCCCGGTTCAAATCCCGATGCGTACCAAGTCAGGAAGTTGGTCTGGTAGCATTGCCAGTTAAGTTTCAGAGCACTGCAGAGGTACAGAAACCCCCCAAACAGCTCAGGTGCTCTTTCATGTGCAGCCCCCTCCCTCTGACATCTCTCCATTATTTCAGTGCATGCCCATAGGATCCGGTTCGTGCATGTGTGTGTGTAATCCGGCCTATATGTGTGTGTGAAGCATTTCTCAGTAACAGACTGTAAAAGTAATTTCCCCTCGTGGGATTATGAAAGTATATATAACATGTGTACTTCCTGTTCTGGCATTATTCATCTGCAAACAACAACACAGGAGTTGATAAGAAAAAAAAACAACCTTTTTAACTGCTTTTTGAAGGCAGGTACACTAGACAATTTAAGGCCTGATTTGGGTCCTGATTTGCCCCCCCACACCCCCAAAAAAGATTGGTTGGGCGTGGCCCGAGTCTGTTAAGGCCCTTGGCAAAAATTCATTGGGGGCCCCTCCAACCAGCGTTCATCACCAATCTTTCTGCCAGGGTCTAGAAGCTCGCTCTTCATTTTCCATCAGTGAGAAACTTTGGGTTTTCACCAAAGATGATGCAACTATTAGCAGAGCAACGACTTTGAGTGCTGTCAGATGCAGGGGCCCCCTTAGGGAGGTTTCCTACTGTCATTGCGAAATTTGCACATTTTGAAACACTGCTTTGGTCAAAGTTTGAAAGGCATCGGGGGGGGGCCTCCTACTGGGGCCACAAGCAGCTGCCTGCTCTCGCAACCGATTCTTTATCCAGATAATCCT